CATCTTTGTTGTTTCCAAGTTTTGGCAATTATGAATAAAACTGCTATAAAAATATGTGTGCAGGCCAGGTACAGTGACTCCTGCCCATAATCCCATCACTTTGGGAAGCCAAAATGGGTGGATCACCTGAGGTCAGGAGTTCAAGACCAGCCTGGCCAACATGGTGAAACCTCGTCTCTCCTAAAAATACAAAAACTAGCCAGGTGTGGTAGTGCATCCCTGTAGTCCCAGCTACTCGGGAGGCTGAGGCAGGAAAATTGCCTGAACCCAGGAGGCAGAGGTTGCGGTGAGCCAAGATCGTGCCACTGCATTCCAGCCTGGGCAACAGAGAGACTCTGTCCCAAAATAAATAAATAAATAAATAAATAAATAAATAAATAAATAAATACATGTGCAGGTTTTTGTGTAGATATTAAGTTTTAATTCATTTGGGTAAGTACCAAAAAGCATGATTGCTTGATTGTATAGCAAGAGTATGTTTAGTTTTGTAAGAAACTGTCAAAATGCCTTTCAAAGTGGCTATATCATTTTCATTCTCACCAGTAATGAATGAGGGATCCTATTGCTCTGTATCCTTGCCAGTATCCATCTCGAAAATGTATATTAGCCATCCAACAGAATAATATTTGGCAATAAAAAGTAATGAAATACTGATATATATTAGAGCATGGATGAACCTTAAAAATATCATGCTAAGTGAAAGAAACTAGTCACAAGAGACTATCTTTTACATGTCCAGGACAGGGAAAACTATAGAGACAGAAGCTAGGTTAGTGTTTGTTTAGGGATAGAGAGATAAGGTCATAGGAGGATCATAACTAAGGGTGTGGTGTTTCTTTTTGACTTGACAAAAAGAGACTAAAATTGATTGTGGCAATGGTTGCACATATGTGTCAATATACTAAAAACCATTGAATTGTATACTTTAGGTCCATGTATTGTTTGGTATGCAAATTATATCTCAATAAAGCTGTTACTAAAAAGAAGTAGTATCTATTCTGAGATAGATGAGTAGGAGTTATCTAGGCTAAGTGTGTCAGGGGCAATTGAGGCAGTGTTTCAGGCAGGAATAAATGTGAGAACCAGGACCCAGACTTGAAAGGGCATGGAGCTTTGAGGAACTGATAGGAATTCCCTCAGCACAAGGTTATCATTGCTATTTATTAAATACCATTCATTCCAGAGCAGTGATTAGGAACGAGAACATTGACCTTAGGCAAGTATTCTATTTAATAGCTTAGTAACCTTGGCCAGGCCTTACTTTCTTTTTCTATAAAATAATAGGTTAATGTAACATCCAGAAAAGGACTCACAGTTCATGGAAGGGAAGAAAGACTCTGTGGAAATCCAATAATCATTTTGGCAATTACAACGCAAGAATAATAGAATTACCAATTGGGAAAAAATTTTTGAAATAATTATTTCTTACCAGATGGCAGGAGGCCAGATGAGAGATACCAAAATGCCAGTTAAAAAGAAATGGTCTTTCTCTTTAGCAAACTAAAGTGCTTCATCTTGATATTTGTGAATATTTGTGGATATGGGTATGTATGTGTATGTATGTATATATTATACTGTGCCTTCTGTTCTTCATTTTTCTTTTAACAATGCATGGTGAACATGTAGTACATATGGATCTCCTTCATCCCTTTAAATAGCTCCTTTACCTACATTACACTGTGCACAAAAGATTTGAATAGACATTTCTTAAAGTATGAAATACAAATCACCAATAAGCATATAAAAAAATGCTCCATACCCAATGAAATTATTCATCAACTGATGCAGCTGTTTTTGCTAATGGTCTTGCAAAAGGCTAGGGTAAGAATAACAAATAACTGCTTTTGGCTACTATTTTGTGTGTTGGCCTTCTCCCACTTACCCTACCTGGAACTTTCCTTGCAGAGAGAACAAACAAGCTTTTCTGTTAGCCTTTGCTTTTTACAGAGGCTGAGGTAATTATGTTTGGATGGGATCTGGGGCTGATTTTCAAACATACACTCTTCTGTCAGTTTCCTAGTAAAAAGTTTTCTATGAGATTACTCTTGTCATTAGCATCCTGAAGAATCCATTGGCTTTGCATTCCTACGTCTTTTATTTTGTGATATCTTGATAGCTGTGTCTTACTGTAATTTTGAAGTTCCTCAAAGGCTGTTTATCTTTAATTTCTTAGTTGATGCTCTTTTCATTCAATTAATCTGAGAATTCATTTAAAATCCCCTGTACTTAAGTAAAAACTAGAAATAGTTACAAATACCATGTTTACATTCTACAATATACATTGTTGTCTTGTATTTAATTTGGAATCATAAATCAGAGTTTTTGGTGCTAGGAAAGGCTTATCATTCACATTCAGATTTATTGTACAGAGAAAACTGTTACTGAGAGAGGCAATCTGCCATGAGGCCTGAGCATCCCTGCATATTCTTATTGGGTATGCCAAGAATGTAAGGCCCTGGCCGCTCTTTACCCAGGCAGACCATTTTCCATAGTTGTGGTTGCAACAGGCAACCCTGAGCAATAAGATAACGTCTTTCCCTGAACAAAGAGCAGGCTTGTTTCTACTATGAAATAATTGAATACTCCAAACTCAAGGTTTCTTTCCTGTAAGGCAATGCACTGCATGTTCAGGTATCAATCACAGGTCTTATGTCACCTCACGAAACTTGGGAATAATAGGGAACTAATACAAATCAATGTGAAGCTCTGGCTACTGCTTCTGTGACAATGTTATTTGATTTCCACCCAGGAGTCTAGAGTCCTCTGCTAGCATCCATTAAATGGGAATAGGCTTGTTTGTTAGGTTTTACGTAGGGTGAAATCTCAAATCCTGCACAGTTCTTGATAGGTGTTTCCAGTTGTTATCCCTAAAGTTATGCTCATGCTAGAGCAATGTTTCTCACCAGAAAGATTTTTTTGCCCTTAAGTATGTGCCACCTACACGATTAATACTGTGTTCTAAATTAGTGTTCTTCAAATGGACTCATTTATTTAATTTGGATACTTTTTTTTGGAAAACCAAAATTTATAATGCCACCATAAATCTAAACTATGATAATTTGCTTTAAAGAGAAAGTATTCATTATTACATGTTGAAATAAGTACATGGACACCACAATTTAAAAGACTTGTGTACTATCTAAAATCATTTTCTCCTACCACCAGACTCTTTTACTGTAACCACAAGTTCTCTGATTACAGCCAGAGCCGTCATGTCTGGGATAAAGTTTCTAGTAGTGAATTTTGAGATCTTCTATTCTTCCTTATAAAAATGTCTTCATCAAACCTCCTTGTGGAGGAAAAGCAAAAGGGATAAAGGAAGTCTAATGCTCTAATCTGCAAAAAGTAGAGTTGTTTTTCTCCAGGTACGTCTGTCCGGGACAGGCAAGCTAGCAGCCAAGGAGGGCCTTATGCCTAGCAGAGAAGCCAAAGTCAGACCTGTCCTAGACAGGAGTGTGGCTTAAGTGAGCCTTTCCATGTCCTTCCTGAGTGCCACCCCTGTGAGGGCCAAGGGGATGGACTTATCCTGTTTTGTAAAACTGGCAGTGAGCCTGGAACCGTATCTCACTCCAACATGGATTCCAACCCTACCAGCAACCATTAGGCTGCCATCACCTTGAAGAATGTTTTGGAAGCATGAAGAGCTCCCATAATGGCATCACAGAGGAAAATGACACATGATGAGCAGAATAGTGGGCCTTTCGTAAAGAAAGAAAGGGCCGGGCGCTGTGGCTCACGCCTGTAATCCCAGCATTTTGGGAGGCCGAGGTGGGTAGATCCCCGGAGGTCAGGAGTTTGAGACCAGCCTGGCCAACATGGCAAAACCCCATCTCTACTAAAAATATACACACACACAAAATTAGCCAAGCGTGCTGGTGTATGCCTGTAATCTCAGCTACTTGGGAGGCGAGACACAAGAATTGCTTGAACCTGAGAGGTGGAGGTTGCAGTGGGCCGAGATCGTACCACTGCACTCTAGCCTGGGTGACAGAATGAGACTCCATCTCAAAAAAAGTAAAAAAGATAGATAAATAGATAATAGATAGAGAGAGATAGAGATATGTAGATATAGATACATAATAAAGCCTACACAGCACTTTCATGTATTTCCAGCCAAGGATGGGATTATTCCCAAATCGGACTTGAATTTTCCTGTAAAATTTATACAAGTCTAATAATATCTGTTGAACTGATGAGGAAGCCCTGACACTAGTCTTCTGGGAGAGATCATTCATCCTAAGGAAATAGGTGTCAGGAAGATAAAATGGTAATCTTCAGATCCAGGGCAGCAATTCTTACTAAAGCATAATGTCTGTTACTCAGATTTATTTTCTGGTCCAACTCCCAGATGGACCTATCATGTCTGAGCCTTATGGGGAGAAAGTTAAAATTCCAAAGTTGCCAAGATACCTAAAAGACATCATGACTCACGTGGCACTGCATAAGTGTCTATCTAAATTGAAGTGATGGGAAATTTCACTTCTCTAAAGGTCAGTGTGGGAACTCAGCTTACTGGGGGTGCTAAAGAAATATGTTGTAATATACTTGAGAATTCTAGCACATCCATAGTGATAGGGGCCTGAAGGGGCAGGACCCAGCAGAAGGGGCAGAAAACCCAGTATATATGGTAGTATCAAGGGCAGGGGCATGAGAGTCTGGGCAGGCATATCAGGAAATAAACATAAAGGTGGCACCCACCTCATGGTTGTTTGGGTTTGTTCTTAGTCACAGATAATAACTACTTTCCTCACCCTTCCAAATCGCTAAAATTAATCTCTTACAGAGCTGGGATGGGAACAATACTCTGTCAAACATAGCTCATAGTCATTACCTTATTTAGCCCTCACAAAATTCTTGTGAGATTATTTTATTTTAAAGGTGAGAAAATATGTAAAATTTATTATTCTGGCTAAGTGGTCCGGTCACATTTCTTCTAAACTTCTGTCAACAAATATTAAATGCCCCAATACTTTTAGAAATAAACTAGTAAGTGCTGCTTGTTGCTTCTTTTTGTTATAAATTTTATTATTTTAGCAATAATAATGCATGTTAATTTTAGGAATATATGAAATACAAATAAGCAAAAGGAGAAAAATCATCCATAATTCCACCACTGAGAAGCTGTACTTTCTGTCATCCTTCACAGGTTATGTTCATATATGTAATATACAATTGTCCTTTTTACCTTTCAAAAATAAGATATTCACATATTACTTAGTAACCTTTTCCCATTTTGTATCCTACCAAGAACCTCTTTTCTACAAATGAGTAAAGTTCTCTTACCAAAAGACAGAGACTTGTAGATTGGTTCAAAATACAATAAACAATGAGATGCAGATAATAAGAGATACATCTAAAATCATTAACAGCAACAGGTTAGAAGCAGAAATATGGACCAAGGTATACGAGGAAAATGCTAATAAAAAGCAAGCTATATGGTAGTGTTAATATCAGATACAAATTAAGGTAAACTACATTAAGTAAGGGTGAGGATGGTTTCGATTAACTTTCCAACGCATCACTACAAGTTTGTTTCTGACTCTCCTTATCTCATCCATTTCATCCACTTCTCTACACATATCGTCATTGCTTAAATGCCTGTTGTGTATATCTTCTTTAAAATCTTGGAGCGATTGAATCAGCTTCTCTCTAAAAGCTCCTTTTGCTTTGGCCTCCTCCTCTAGCTCCTCCTCCTCCTCCGGCTTTTCCTCAGGTTTTGGCTCTTCCTCATGCTTTGGTTCACTCTCATTTTCTGGTTTTCCTTCAATTTTTTGACAGGATTTCATCTTGTATCTATCTACCTCTCTTCCTTCCTTCCTTCTTCTTTTCTTCCTTTTTTTTTTTTTTTCTTATTCCTCTTTGAATACAATGACTTCTAGAAAGCAAAAAGAAGACAGTAAGTTAAAGATTAAACACTTGGTGAGTGGACACGTGCCATGAACAGAGGTCTTAGAATTTTTTTTTTTTTTTATTCAGAGCTATTATAAAATATCTTCCACCTAAGAAGCCCAGACAGCAATCACAGCTTCCCTACTCCTGTTACCTGCACTCTCCACCTCCGCACTTCGCTGTTGTCCTTCCCTCCAACCTTTTTGCACCGCCCGCCTTTCCGCCTCCCAGCCCTCCCCAATCCTTTTTCCCCCTTAGGGCCTAATACACGGACCAGCCCGGAAAAGAGAAAGGTGGCTGGCAGGTAGAGGAAGAGGAGAAAGGAGAAAGTGGGGAGAAAAAAAGAGGGGAATGAGGTGGGGTGGAAGGGAGCCGGCAGGAACAGTGGAGCTTACAACCTTTGTCTCTACCCCTAGGAGACTTTATAATGCTCCGCTCACCTACCTGGCACTGACCGGGTCAGTTTCTTCCTCCTCCTTTTCTACCTTGGGGTCTTGCTAGAAACACAGACCTGCAGACAAACGGGAAACGGGAGGGGGCGGTGGAGGTGGGGAGAGCCCTTGGTGGGCTGACCGGCACCCGAAACTGAGACACATAGCTTTCCGCCTTTAGGGTTTCGGTTATGGAAAGTTTCCCACCTTTTGTTTCTCCCAGTTCACCCTCTCTCCACATTGCAAGTTAGTTCGTTTTTCACATTAGACAAAAGAGTGAGAAGGCAGATTATTTCCAAACTATCTTTAAGACTGAGGCGGGGTTCGGGAGGAGGGTGCGGGTCCGGAAAGCAGTCTTACATAGCAGAGGATGATTATTTTTAAACTACCACAAGTCTCCTTGATCTTCTCCTAGGATTCCTAGTCCCCTTCCCAAGGGTCATCATTTCCTGTAGTCCTGGAGGTGGACAGTGGAGAGACGGACCTGACTGGCACTCCCACAAGTCTCTGCCCTAAACCGCCCCACACTAGAAGTCTCCAGTCAACAAGTACATTTACACTAACCTGAAAAATGCCTGCAAGTTTGACTCCTTCCACTGGCCTCAGGTACCACCGCCTGCACTGCTGAAGGAGGCTGGTATCCCGACGGGAACAAGGACCAGACTAGCAGGACTTCTGCACACGTCGACTCCTGGTCACATGAGATCTACGTCACCAGTGAGATCGGGTCCCTAATTTCCACTCCCACCAAAAGCGCGGCAGAAGTCGGCCCACCCTCTGCTCCCTCCCCGCCCCCTACTTATACATTTGGCCCTGTCAGTCTTTTCTGTTGTTTCCTATCCCAAAGGGAAAAATGTTATTTGCTTGACTCTGATTACTAGGGAGGAGCTACCTCTTTTTCTAGAGCTGCTGAACTTTTCTACTTTTTCTTTCGAGAATTTTCTCTTCCAGTCTTCCACTCCCAGGATAACTCCTCCGTCAGTCGTCCCTCCCCTAGCCTCCATTTCATCTGCAATCTGGTCCTTAGCTGTTGAGGGGCAGAGTGCCCTTGGCAGCAGTTGTGAAACAAAAAAAAAAAGACCTTGGAACAAGAGTGAGATTTTTGAATGCAATTTTTACTGTTTATTCTCTGTACTTTTATATTCTTTTTTCTTTTTTTGTTTTTTAAGGTAACTTTACTCTCTCTCTCTCTCTCTTTTTTTTTTTTTTTTTTTTTTTGAGACAGGATCTCACTGTGTTGCCCAGACTGGAGTGTAGTGGTACAGTGGCGCCATCACAGCTCACTGCAGCCTCAAACTCCTGGACACAACCGATCCTCTCACCTCAGACTCCCAAGTAGTTGGGACTACATGTGTGTGCCACCATGCCCAGCTACTCTTTTAATATTTTTGTAGAGATAGGATCTCTCTATATTGCCCAGGCTGGTCTCCAACTCCTGGGCTTAAGTGATTCTTCCGCTTCTACCTCCCAGAGTGCTGGGATTACATGCCTGAGCCACTGTGCTGGGCAGCTTTTATCTTTTTATAGTCAGAAAAGACAAAGACAAAATCACTTCAATTACAAGACTTAATACGTGTACAGTGCTCAGAATAGTGCCCAGCATATAGCAACTGCTTTTAAAGTGAAAGCTGTTGTTATGTTAGAGGTTTTTTTGAGGAAAATGATTCAGTTTTTTCTTAAAAAACACTAATGTTTTGTTCTAGAGTCCTCAGGGTGGTGTTACCAGGAAGCTGTGCTGCCTGAAGAATCATCAGTTAATCAATTGTCAGGTACACATTGTGAGCCTGAGCTTCCTCATCTGAAAGAAGGGAGTAATAGCATATACTCACAGAATTGAGATCTATTGGGAATAAAAATAAGAGTTAATTTTTTATCTATACAATTAGAAAAGACAAATATTGATTATATTTGGAGTTGGTGAGGATATGGAAAAACAAATATTCACATATACTGTGAGAATATTAAATAGTACAACATTTTTAGAAGTCATTTTTGCAATATAAAACTTTAAAAGATGTTCACTTTTAGACACATCAGTTCTTGTAGAGATTTATCATACATTAATATTCCTGTGCCAAATATGCTCATTGTAGTGGTTGTGGTAATAGTGTTTTTTAAAGAGTCAAAACCTTAAATGTTTCTAAAAGGAAACCGGTTTAAGAAAAATTTGGTCATTCATACAGAGCCACATTATACAGTGATGAAAAAATGATGTGGAGTTAACATTTACTCACATGAAAAAAATGTTCACTGTAAACAAAAAAAGGCAAATTGAAAGTTAATATATGTGGTCTTACCTTTTTGTAACAGCCTACATATTTATTTTTTGTATTTAAAATATAAGTACATAATTAAATTACACCATAACATGATAAGTGAAGTCCACAAATTCATTCCTATAAAATTCCAGGTTATATTACTGAAAGATGGATGGAATAACTGATGTGACCCTATTTGGTTTGCTGGCTGCACAGCCCAAATTCATCAAGGACTCAGCTGTGATTTGTTGCCACAAACAATTGTTCAGTGGGCACTTGGACTTAAATATCAGCCATCCATTTTACTGTCTCCCCACCTGCTATCACCAGTCATATTATATCCAAACTCAAGTTGTTGCAGGGTCTTACTGTATTTTTAGGTCGTCAGAAATGTAGATGAATATATTCTGAAATATTACAGGATATACTTGAGAATGTGTATTTTATATAAAGACAAATTTTATTTTCTAAATATTGCACTTCTATATTTGAAATGTAATTTAAATTACTAATAAGTTAGTAATATATTACTAATATTCAGAAAAATGATTGAGACAAAACTGAAAAATAAAGAAGAAATAAAATATCTGACAAATATTAGACAGCCATGTATCTATTGAAATGAAAGTTTTTATAATATATTGATATGTAAAGAAAAAGCAGGTTGCAAACAGTAACCTGCAGAGGATTCCACTTTTTAAGACAATATTTTTACATGTAGGTACTTACAGGTATACATGCACAGAAAATATGGAATAACATACGTCAAAATACTAGAATTAGGTATGATTGGGTGTTTGGTGGGCTGATGGATTATATATATATTCTTTTATTACTTCATTGTAGACTCTTCTACATTTTCTCAGGGGGCATGTGTAACTTCTACAGTAAGGAAATGTCTGCAAATAGTATGGTCTTATTTTATGGCACATATTTCATATACGTTCTTCTCTGTGGCTGCACAGGGTCTGAATTAAGGGCCTCCACTACCTGTTTGAGGCTCGAGATCCTTGCCATGGTTGAATCCCTCACATTTGCTTCCTTTGCTCTGCTGACCTCCTGGAAGGACTACATGTTTGTAACTAGTATGCATTAGAAATGAGGCTATCTTCCCCTTCCTCTGACTATCCTTCCCTCCAATCAAGTTTGAGATGGTCAAGGTGTACTACTAGATTATTAACATGGGGAAGGAGGCATCTCTCTCTTAAATTTGACCTGCTGAAAATATTTTCTAGGAAAATACTTTTGCTAGAAAAAGTAATACTTATGCAACAATATAATATTTTAAACAGATTGTAAAATAGTATTCTTAGTTGCCAATTAAATTCTTTAAAAGATACGTTTGAATAGAAACGGAAAGTATTGTTGATCAGGCTCTGCTTGACATGCAGCATGTATCTGTAGTTCCCTTACATTCTTGCAGTAAAAATTTTTATTTTTTGCTAGTAAAGAAAATATTATTTAAAAGCAGGTTATAAAATGATGTATATAACATTATCTTAGTTATACTTAAAAATACACATAGAAGGAACAAAAACCCCCAAGAACGTACACTCAATTTTATTTATTTGCTGGCTCTCAAATATACATTTCATTCACTTATTGATTCCACAAATATTAATTAGGTGATTACTAGGTACTGTCAATCTAAACCCTTATGTCTTTTCTGGAGATTTCCTCTCAATTATTACTGAATGTGTTAGTGCAGTGGAGTTGCATCTTAAACTAAGGATGGATTCTAAAGTCAGTATAAAAGGTAAAATCCTACCTAGTCAAACTTACCTACTGCATAGCATATTAATGTAAGTTATAATGTTAGTGGGGAAAAATCAAAATATTTAAACTTAAAATTAAACCCCCATTTAATTTTATGGGAATATAGATTTCTAGAAACTTTCATATGTGTTTTCCAGTTTTCCCACAGTTTACTTGAATTACATACATAGAACAATGAAATACATAGTTTTAAGATAACCCAGACTTCATTCACTCCTCACTGTATATACGGGCATTTAATTTTATGTAAATAATATATATATAAAACACACACACACACACACACACACACATATAGATGCAATTTTAAAATTGAAATATGTATATATTCCAGAATAACGAAGAAGAGAGAGAGGAGGGGAGGCCAGTTTTCACTGCTCTGCTTGTGAGTGGGATGGAGATTATATGTGTGTGTGTGTGCGCGTGTGTGTGTGTATAGATAAATATATTACATATTATATATAGTATACTATATGTATTTAGTCATATTATATATCATATAATACTATATAGATATAATATAGAGAGTTAAATAGACACATAGATATAAAATGTATTTACTAGACACTGCATGAATGCATAATTCATGAGGGAGAAATGTGGCAATAGATTCCTTCAATATTTTTGACCCATAAACATTTAAAAAAATAAATAGGTATTGTACAGTAAAGAATATCTCCTAACTTGTTTACAATATAATAATCAATTTATTTTTCTCTTTTAACAAAGCTGAGATGTCTACTGGAGAAACTTAAAAAGTAAAGGGCCACCTTGTGACCAGAAACAGCACTGCAGTTTGTGCATCACCAAGCAGGGAGTCTAGGGCAGAGAAATAATGTTAATCTTGATTAATAGTGCAACTAATTTTGGACCCATTGAGACTGACACACTGTTGGAATATCCAGGAAGAGAGTTGCACTGGAGAAATGGATAAAAGTCTGTAAAGCTAGAAAGGGGTATGGGCTAGAATGTAAAATTGAATGTCATCATCCCTAGGACTCTAGTGACAACTACAGAAATGGATGCGATCAGCCAAAGAGAACATGGAGACTGATGAGAAATGGGACTTTCAACATTTAGGGCAGGAATATGGCTCAGTTGCTAAAAGTCCAGGCGTTAAAACCAAATCCAAACTCTGTTCTTTTCCAGCAGTTAAAAAACGTTATAAACTCCCTATTAGAAACTAATGAGAGCCATGAGTTCTCCTCAGCACATGCATACACCTTGAACAAATGTAAATATCCATCCTTGAACCAATGGGTATACTCACCCACGTACATATATGGGCACGCAATCTTTTTTGAGACAGGGTCTCACTCTGTCACCCAGGCTGGAGTGCATTGACACAATAATGGCTCTTCTGCAGCCTCTACCTCCCAGGCTCAAGTGATCCTCCCACCTCAGCCTTCCAAGCAGCTGGGACTACAGGTGTGGACCACCATGCCAGGGTAATTTTTCTTCTGTTTTTGGAGATATTGGGTCTCTCCATGTTGCCCCGGCTGGTCTTGGACTCCTAGGCTCAAGAGATCCTCCTGCCTTAGCCTCCCAAAGGGTATGATCCACCACATCCAGTGGGCACACAATTTTGAGTGCAAGTTTAGGAAGTGTATAGGTTTACTCTGTTAAGATTTTTTGGCCTAACTTAATTAATAGAAAATATAAAATAGGAGGGTCAAATAGAAAAC